GAAAATTCAAGGTATCACCACCATGATGCTAACATTATTTTTCATACAGGCAAGGTCAACATGGGCAGAGCCAACAAAACGTGACCAGGTAGATTCTGTGCTGCGCACTGCCTAAAATGTGGAGCAGGTTCTTTGCTTGCTATGTAACAAGGCCTCTGAGCCAATGAAAAAATCAAAGATGTGGCCCTAGAAAGAGATCCTTGATTCAGTGGTTTTCCATCTTTGCTCTGTCCACACACCGGAGGGACACAAGGATCCAGGACGCAGTGCGAGTAAAAATCTTGCTCTACAGGACAGAAGTGTATGTGTGTGTGTGTGGGTGGGGGGGGGCTCCTCAGGGCAGTAAAGACAAGGAAAGGGACTGTGGACAATCTCAAATCTGAAGGTTCCAAGGGTGTTGCTAATCGGCTTCTCCCCCACGAGTTACATGACACACGTGATTCCTTTCCCAGAGATGATGGAAGTATGCAGCCCTATTCCACAGACCCCAGAAAGGAAAATGATCAGACAGTTAATAAAAGAGCTGAAAGTCACCTCATGGTTCTGGACACTTGAATTCAGGCACCTTCCACTACACAGAGTTTGTACACAGTTGGTTGCCAACAAATATTTAATAAACACATAAAATAAGGAGGCAATATTTGTGCTCCTTTAACAAAATAATTGCTGGGTTAATGCAACCGTTCACATCCTGGATTACCTAGATCCCACCAGAATTCAAAATGTACTGATGGGAGTGAAGAGGCCCTTGGCTAGTTTCAGAACCTCAGAAAGTCGAAAGGATGATGTTTTTATCTAAAACAGGGCTACCCAGGTTTCTGAAACATCAAGTTCCCTACTTTGGGCTGCCATTATGAGCCACTAGATTGGATGGTGCTGGTTTTCTCAAGTGCATCAGTTCTGACTGTAAGTCTTATGCTCTTCTAAATAATAAAAACGATCACCCATAGTCTTCCTAAATAAATGCAAACTGTTTCAGGGACATTCTGTCAAATGACAGAGTCGGTGAGGGGGAAGTCATGTTAAAGGGGTTCTTGAAGGCAGAAAGCTGGCTATGATGGTTTGCTGCCTGCACCCCCAGAGGAGCTCTCAGGAGGAGACCTCGGGACAGAGTTTCTGCTCAGCATTAGGCACCCTTGGGCGGTGTTTCCTGCCTGGGTATTTCCTTGGTATTTTATATAAAATATTGGCTTCAGTTTTTAATCTGGACCCTATAGGTAAAATATCTCTCTTCATTGGACAAATCTAGATTAAATCAAACCTTCTATTCCCAGTCCCATCAGTCACTCCCACCAGCAGAGTCACTCTTCATCCCTGCCTCAGGCTAACACTAGACAGAAAGTTCTGATCACACTCAAGCCAAAAGTAGGGCACCAATGGGGCAACCAAAGTAGAAGGCCTGGGCCCCTACCACCGTGTGGAAAAGGAATATGAGGTCCGATACAGGCAAAAAGAACTGTTAACAGTAACTGACACTTCACAATAATTTATATTATTTTTAGCTATTTCTTTATGTACTTTTGTGTTATATGTTATACATATATACAGGCTGTTATGTTTATTCTCACATATTTCTTTCACATATGTAGTGCAGGGTACCCAGCAAGTAGTTAATAAATGCAATTCCCTAAAAAGGTTATAGCAAAATACTAAAATCAGCAAAGGGCATGTCTATAATACCAGACAATGGATTGAAGAGCTAAAGCAATGATGATGAAAATTCAGACTAGGCAGTGCGAGGCTTGAGAAGATCTTTTTTCTGATAAAGAGTGAAAAATACATTGGCCCAATTGCTGTTATTTGCATACCAGTTGGTCTCCATGGTTACCACCTAACTTTTCTTCTGAGAGGAAAAAATTTACTGACAATATTCTACTTCATTGTCAAACACTTTGAGGCTTTAAGTAAAATAGTTATTCCATGTTTCATTCCTTGCCGTTATTTATGTACTTTCAGAAGTAACATTCCTTTTTGCTGACATTCTTTAAGAAAGTCAATGTTTAATCCACAGTCGGGATTCCCTACTTTTTTTAATGTTAATAATAATTTGAGGGTATTGTGAACGTTAGTGCATTTATAGATTGCTGTAATTTATGTTTCCTGCTTTCATACATGGTGCCAGATTTGCTCCCAAAAGTAACCCTCGGAGATATGCAGTTAAGAATTATTCTCATCTTCCATGGAACTAACCCCAAATGGTAATCGCTGTATTTATTTTTTAGCTGTGTATTGTCAGCTTAGCAACTAGACCACAATCTCCATAGAGGGTAAGGAAGTTGTCACCCAGCTCCCAGTTGAATCCTCAGCCTAACACTTCATTTGGGGCATAGTAAATGTCCTCTGAATATTTATTAGTGAATAAATAAGGTCCCTTTTCTGTCTTTCCCCCTTTTTGGTAGAAAGCACATAACGGTACCATGTCCCAGAAAACCCCCATTTAGAATTCAGTGGTCTGTTCTCCATCAAAGGGAAGCTGTGTAAAAATGCTCTAAAAACAACAGAGTTTATACTCAATAAAACTAAAAAATAAAAGTACAAAGTTCGGGTAAACAAGGAAATCGATGCCCATCAACCATTAAATATCCAGAGCTCCAAATTTTCCACTACTAAGTGTAAACATTTTTAACTAGCTTTGGTATACTGGATATTTGTCTCATAAAGGACTTCAGAAAGCTGAGTAAGAGGAGACTGGGGCTGATAGCGTTGTCAGTACTTCAGAGTAACCATTTGTTTGCCATAATTTGCTTCCACCCTTACTACAAACTTTTACTTTGACTAGCATGACATTTTTACAGGTAAGTTTGAAATATATGGGTTATCTGTAACTTTTGAGTGTCAACAGAAAAAAAAAGACAACTCACTCAGAATGAAACATGCAAATGTTTAAAATTAAGAAACAATTACAAGATTATCTTGGATCTAGAGGCCAAAATCTAACTGCTTACACAACAGGCTGTTATAAATTACAATCACTCACTAATTACTGTGACAACCAGACTTTGCCACATCCATCAATAGATGTTCCAAGGTTACCTCTTAGATATTACCAGCTAAGACATAAATATTCCATATGCTGACATTCCTTTAAAAAAGGCAAGTTTTTCCAGGATTTTTTAGGTTTTTATTTCCACCCTTTCTCCCCCACAAAAAGAATAATGGGGGGAAAGGGAAGTGGGGAGGGAAGTAGAGAATCCTGAATCTGTGCGGTGTGAAATTTAGCAGGGATCGCCTCAGGGTACTAAGGAAGTGCATCTGTCTAACACCAAGGCCATCCATCTCTCCCGGTGTCACCAAACCCCTGAGGTCTGCACCTGTCCTTAAGCACCAAAAAAGTGCAGGCTGCTAAGTTCCAGTGTTTTTGCAGTCGGTCTGAAAACTAATAAATGACTGCAGACTTGACAGCAACCTGGGTGATTCCTGAAAATCCACAACAGGAAATGTAACTACCCTCCACCCTCCCTAGCCATTCATCAAAAGCAGACGGAGTCAAGAGCAACAGGGAGGCCAGTGGCAGAAGGCAAATGCCAGCGCTTTTCCTCACTCACAAAGTCTCCGTGTATTTTCTTATTCCCTAACCAAGGCCAAGGAGTACTACCCATGCCCACACCGGAGGGAGAAGCCGGAGGGGGAATGGAGAGGGCAACATGTCCCCAAGTTCCAAACACCAGGGGATTAAAAAAAAAAAAAGAAAAAAAGAAAAAAAAACACGAGCGAAAGCCTCGCCGCCAAGACGTGCCAACCTCGACAGCCAGCTCCAGGGGTCACATGTGCAGCTGATCACCAAGGATCCTGCCTCCCCCGACAGACCCCGGCTCCCCACGGGTCCTCGGAGACCGTCTTTGCGCGCGGCCAGGCTGCCAGCCTCCGTCCCTTGCCCCCCACCTCCCCCAAGGCGCAAGGGAGTGAACAGGGCACACGCACCCAGACCTGGGGCCCAAGACGCCAGTGCGCGCCGGGGAGGCAGGACGAGTTCTAGGCTGCAGCCAGCCCGCTGCACTTGGAGAGGCTCCGCTCGCCCCTCCGGGGGGCGGCCCCGAGGCCGCAGCCCCGAGAGCCGCCGCGGGCGGGCGGGCGGGCGGCGGGCGAGCGGGCGCCCCGATTGGCGGCGGCGGGCATCGCTCGTGGGTGAGCCGGCCCGGGCGGAAAGGAAGTGGCGGCCGTGGCTTTGCACCAACCACGTTCGGCCGGCGGGCGAATGCCACAGGGCGCCCCGGGCAGGGTCGGAGGGCGCGGGGCGGGCATGTCCCCACCCCGCCGCAGCCCCGGGTCCCTGGCCCCCCGGGGCCGCCAGCCCCCCGCCGGCTCGCGGGGCGCGCTCGGTCCCCGGAGGCTCCCCGCCCCCACCTCGCCCGCTCCGTAGCCGAGGCGGGTCAGGCCCAGCGCGCGAGGCCGGCCCGGGGCGCCGGAGGGGACCCGGAGGCGCCCGGCGCTAGGCCGCGGCCGGGGCAGATGACCCCTCGGCGCGGCGCCCTCCCGAGACGCGCCCCCCGCGCCCCCGCGCGCGAGGACAAGCGCCGCGACAAAGCCCCAGGGCCAGGCCGGGCGCTGACCGGCGGGGAGAGGACGCGCTGTCCCTCCCCGGCGCGGCGGCCCAGCCCCCAGGAAGCCGGGCGCGCGGGCCAGGCCCGGGGCGCAGCCGCGCTCGCCGCCCGCCCGCGCGCCCCGGCCGCTGGCACCCGCCGCCCGCGCCCCTGCCCCGCGCCCCGCGGGCGGCCGAGCCCCGGCACCGCCGCGGGGCGCCCCATCAAGTTTCCTCTGGCCGCGACGGGAGGCGCCTCTCCCGGCCCGGGCGCGGGGCGCGGGCAGCCGGTTCCTTATTTACGCCCGAGCTGCCCGGGGAGAGGCGCCGCCGCCGGGCGCCGAGAGGACCCCCTGCCCCCCGCTTCGGGTCCGGCGGCCGCGGCGTCTGTAAACACACACCAGCACGCACACATGCACACGGTCATTTCGTTTTAAAAGGAGGCCCGAATGCCGCGGACCTGCACCCCCACGCACGACACCTGGGGCGCAGAATCACACAGAGCAGGTCTGTGTCCATGGAGCCACCTCTCCGCATCTGCAAATCCAAAAGTGAAATTAAACCTCCACCAACCTCCTCCTCCTCCCTCGCGAGCTCCTCCGCCTCCTCCTTGCAGCCCCAGCAGCCCCAGCAGCAGCAACAGCAGCAGAACCTGCTTCCCCGAAAATCAGATGATCCACAATAACGCCAACTGTTCCTCCAAAAATCGGTATTAATATTTATGAACCCCAGCATTGTCCGCTTGCAAAACACCGTGTCCAGCCATCAGGACACGCATGCACACAGAGCCCCTCCGGTCCTCATAAACATGCCCTCGAGCAAAACACACACGCACAGTCACAACTATTATTTGAAAAATGTTACCTCTCAGTGTGCTTTTTCACGCTACCAATACAATTCCGCAAGGTTTAAATGTTGCTAGGGTGTGTGAAATAGAAATGAAAGCCCGTCAGTTGAATAATCGCAGGAGCAAAACTAAAAGTTACTCCCCGGCTTGCCTGAGAACAGTCCAGATCGAAAGCAAAACAAGGAGAGGAAACTGCGAAGAGCTGAGGCTGGAAATCCCCCGCCCCCCGCCCTGGCTCCCTCCCTCCCGCGCCTCCCCCCTCCGCCCTCCGCCCTCCGCCCGCCTCCCTTCCTCCCCAGTGTTTGTTTCGAGCTTGTGCAACCGGGAGGTGGAGGCGGAGGGAGGGCGCGCGCGGCCCGGCGGGGAGGTGCGCAAGTTCGCCGCGCTGCTCATTGGCAGGCGCGCCCGCTTTCATCATTTCTCGGAAAAGTCAATTTCATTTTCGCTTCCCCACGTCGCGGGAGCGGGAGCAACAAGCGGCTGCTCGTGAGTCTGTGGCTCGCGCCCCAGGGCGCACACCCTCGCCGCGCGAACCCTGGAGAGGGAGGCCAGGCCCTCCAGCCCCCTCCCGAGGTGAACAGGCGCTAGCTGGGGTTCAGGCCAGAAGCTAGTGGCGGTGGGAGAGAAGAGCAGGTACCTGACTCCTTGCTAAGAAGGGTCACTGGAAGGTTGGGGAGGAGGGAGGAGGTGGGTGTCTGGGAAGCTGAGGGGCCTCACCGTGCAGTTGGTGGGGCAGGTGCCAGGGGCGTGGAGAGCTGCTGTTTTAATTCAGTGTGTGGAAAAATTCACTTTATAGCAGTGCCACCCCATAGGAATAAAAGGAGCAATTAACTGGCAAGACAGCGGTACTGACATATTCCTGCCAGAAATGGGCCAAGTGACTTGCATCCTTAACCTTATTTGACCCCTTATCAGTCACCCATTGAGGACCTCTGCCATCTCCTACACCACCTGGCCCTGGTTTGCAAGTGGGAGTGATAAGGAAGGCCTTGACCCGCCGCACAATCTAAGCCTGAGCCTCTTGGGCAACGGAAGTTACTTGCTGCAAGATGAGATGGGCAAGGATGTCAGTTAATTTTGCTTAAAGCTGTCTTGGCGGTGGTTGGCTCAAGAGAAGAGCTTTAGACTGAGTACTTCCAGCCAGGTTCAAATTTGGCCTCCTTAACTCTGTAGCTGAGTGACCTTGGCCAAGTTGCATCATCTGAGGCTTCGGTTTTCGATGCTATAAAATGGGAATAAAAGAGAGAATGTGGGAATATAGGCACAGCACCTGTCACTTTCAAGGTGTGTTAGTTCAAACTAATAAAATTATTTGCCACTTTTGGGTCCCTTGCTTTAAAAATACAGATTCTCAAGCCAGAAAGAAAAAAGAAAAATAGCGGATGGTCTCACTCATAGCAGGAATCTAGAAAACTTAAATAAGGGACCAGGAAAAAGCATAACTATAAGAAAGAAAATATCAAAATCAACAAACAACTATGAACCAGAAACACTCTATGGGGGGTGGGGGGCGGGGAAAGGAGGGCTTGGGGTCAAAATAAGGGGGTTGTAATTGTATGGGGAATATAAAAATAAAATTTTAAAAAAAATTAAAAAATAAAAATATAGATTCTCATCTGGTTATGCTTGTTTGTACAGTAACAAGAATACTTGTAACATGATCGTTACATATACAAGCATAAGGTGCATGGTTTCCTAAGCCTTCTCCCAAACTTCTCTACCCACCAAAGAAAGCCTCCTCCTGCTATGTATTTGTAAACAGTTCTCTAAAAGCAGCACTCCAACTTCCCTCTTTATCACAGAAGTATTCAATTCTATGGACTTGAAGAGAAAGTATTCAAATATGCATGTGCGGTGAGGAGATAGCTGAGGGTTAAAGGTTGTGGCAATGGTCCCAGAAATAGATCACACATACACTTTATTTCTTAACCCACTGTACAGTACTATCTGACCCAACTTTACAGCAGTGACTAGTGCAAGCAGTGAGAGTCACTACAAATGCTGCCTGCTGCTCATCTCTTTACCTATCGGTGGGCCCCAATTTAAAACCCAGTTGTCATTCTTGGCAGCGTCCTTCCCTGAACAATGTGTGGTATCCTGTGGGCCTGTGACCTCAGCTCCTTCTCCCCCTTGCATTGCCTTCATTGGACTATAGGGTCTGCAGCTTCAGATTCCTCCAGGTGAACAGACACTTGTCTGTCTCAGGTAGAAAATTAACTTCCCGTAATGCATAATTCCAATCCTAACTCTGCCTCTCTAAAGCCACTCTGCAGCCCTCAGAATAAAACTCACATTGATTGATAAGACATACAAATTTTGTTGTAATCTGGCCACAAACTACTTTTCTAGCTTCCTACTCCTGCTCCTGCACCCCAGAAACCTATCTCTCCCCTTGTCAAACCAGCTGCTATTCCATTTTTTGCAAAATCACTGGGTCACCCTCTTGGTCCCTGTTTTATTCTTTAGCACGGCGTCTGGTGCACATGCCACAAATACTTGTGAATTCATAATTATTTGTTGTTGGTTCTTACAAAATATTTTAGCCTTTATTATTTTTTATTACAAATGTAGTTGATATTTATTGATGTGTATTGATATTTATTGCATACAGAAAAGTTGAAGGAAGAAAATAAGTCACCTGAAATCTTATCAGTCAGGAATAGCCCTGATGATGTGTTTATGTATTTCCTTCTAGCACTTTTTCTAAAGGGCAGTTTCCAGTCCTCAGCGATTCCAGCGCTTTGCATTAATTAAGAATGTCCATTTTCTATGATGCCTATGTCCTGTTTTATTTCTTGGCTGACTCCTCTTCTGGCTGCCAGCCTCCTAAATTATGACGTTTCCAAACATTGTATCCTCCACCCTCCTATTCACTCATTCTGTGAGCTTCCTGTTCTTATTCTGGAAGCTATCTCTTTGACTTGCTCTTATACATGCCCAAAGCTTCAGATACAGTGTTTAGTGGTAGCTGCAAAATCCGTAACTTCAGAGTTCAGGATGCATTACCTCCCAGAGGTGCCTCGGTGCAACAAGTTAAACATAGCTAACTAAACTCATAACATCCTTCCCTGAAGCCCTGAATTTGTCACTTCATTGACCCTGAGAAAACTGGGTGACATCACAGACTCCCCCCTTTCCTGCACCCCTGGAGCTCCCTAAGGCATGGATATTGTTTCCAGTTCTCCAGGCCTCTAAACTCATAAAGCATAGAATGAATTTCACTCAGTTCTTAGTCCCTTGATGACCTGTCACTGCAAACTAAAAATGTGAATATGACCCCCAAATCCACATGGTGTTGATATGCACAGTCTGGAAATATTTCTTAGCACTTTGATGCAATGCAGAAGTCATAAATCTGTGGAAAGTATATGAATAAAGCAAAATAAAACTTTTTTGAAGGTCTGGAGGAAAAAGTAACCTTTGTAAGGAAATCTGACAGAACGCCTTAGTCTAACACGAAACGTTTGCACAGTCTTGTGTAATGAAACTAGAGTGATCTCGTGAGTGAGGTGTATGTCTGTTTTGCTTGTATAATAGAAGGGCCTACAGGAATGCAGGAATCAGCCTAAATACATTAAGACTGATTTCTTTTCAATGTAAAATGTCCTTATTTTCATAAAATAAGGACAGTGATTACCTGGAAGGGTAATGACTGCTCTCTCCGCTGAGTGGAGACAAAGAAATTTAAAGACAGGTTAACCCCTTTAAATGGGTTTTTAATTTATTTTTCTAATAAATGAGAACAGTTTCATAAAGTCATTCCAACAACAAGCATGCATTGCATGCTAAAGATCTTTCTCAGCACTGAGGATACAGCAGTGAACAAAACAAATGAAAAACCTCTGCCTTCCAAGAAATTTGCTGGGAGTCTAGTAAATTGGCATATTAATTTCCATTGTATCATTACAGTAATGGCACCCAGGTTTCCTCCATCTGTAATCACAGCATTAAAGTGAAGAAGGCAGAAGACGATGGCGTGCTAACTCCAGTGTTAAGTAGTTACAGCTGTGATTAAGTGAGAGCTCCCCTATCAGTCTGTCAGCTGATGCCCCAATGTTCAGTTTCACTGCTGCACCACTTGAGGCTGATCCCCCAGGCTCTCCTCCATGGTGCTATAATTTAGGGTTTACATAGTTAAGGAAAATGAGTGCTCCCCACTCGCCAGAGCAGTTGGCTAATATAAAGCCAGAGGTTATATAATAGTTCTGCATTGCAAAGAATATTATTGTGAAGTTGACGCTGAGTACACATAGAGCCAGTTTAGGTTTGAGCTGACATAGTACAGCTTCAAAGATGCTGAGACAGCCTTCAAATTCAAGAACCAGAGGCATCAAGTGGGATAAATTCTAGACTGTTTGCTCATCCAGTGGCTTCTTCCATTTCAATACCTACCCTGAAATAAGGTTCATTTTGTTGCATTTATTCTCGGAAAGTAATGAATTTAAATTGAGTATTTTGCCCAGTCGTTCCTAATAAATACTAATTTTGTATCGTTCTTCTGAGGAAGGGAAAGCAGTCTTTAAAACTACGTGTGTGTGTGACAGAGAGATTTTTGTGCCTAAAAAAAAAAAAATTCATCTTTGAACACTACATAAGTTGTTTTTTTGCCTTGGTTTCTCTGCTCCATCCTGAATGGCTTTGAAATGTTCGTTATTTCTCTAAGGTGATAAACAGTATAGTGTTTTTACTTTTAAAGTCAGAAGGAAAACATGCCTACAGAATTGCCCTAAGTTTCTTAGAATTGATATGTTTCAAGTATTAAAAATGTTTGAACAAGAAATAACTTTCAATTTTGTAATATAAATTCAGCAAACCACAGGATTCCCTGAATCTGTACTTTTGAAGAACTTTTTCATTTAGCTTCCACTCTGTCCATGTAAGCACCTCACTCACAGTAATGAGGCTGGATGCTATTTCGGTATGTTTTCTTTCTCCCCAAACTTCCTAGCACTTTGAATGATACACTGTTATTCTATTGAAGGTGTTTGGAAATTTGCCAATCAGAATGTGA